TGAATTGATTGGTAAATGTAAAGGACACATTAAGGATACTTTTAAGAATTTTCAGATAGTGGCCAGGAAAGATCGTGGTTTCACTAATAGAGATGAGGATGAATTGTGAAAGAAGTAGTTTGGAATATAGTGTTTTGCTTTGTTTTTGAGACAAGGTTTCTCTGTGTAGCTTTGGAGCCTGTCCTGGACCTTGCTCTGTAGACCAGGCTGGCCTTGAACTCACAGAAACCTGCCTGCCTCTGCCTACCAAGTGCTGGGATTAAAGGCATGCGCCACCACCACCTGGCAAATATAGTTTTCTTAAATAGCCAGTTTAAAATCCCATATTCAGGTTCTATTAAAATCTAATGCTGGCCTGTTGATGATGGTGCATGCGTTTAAACCCAGCACTCAGGAGGTAGAGGCAGGCAGATCTCTGAGTTCAAGACCAGACTAGTCTACAGATCAAATTCCAGGATGGCCAGGTCTACACAGAGAAACCCTGTCTTAAAATACCACCTACTCCCCCCAAAAATTATCACTGGTTCGATTTGTTTAGGGTTTATACATTAGGAAATCACCCCGAACACACCACACAGCAGTTTCTCTCTACAGTGAAGATTGACACCCACCCACCTAGAGGAAATTCACTGTATGCTTTCTGAATGAAGATGGGTGAAGGGGGATACAGGTAGCTGATCCCTCAGGTGAGATAAGGTTTCTGGAGTCCAAGGGACAGAGTCAGGGAGCAAATGCTGGGGTATTTCTCTTGTTTTAATGATCACATGGCAGGAGGACAGCTGAGGTAGCCAACAGCTGAGATCGGGCAGACAAGAACCCCCATGGTCTTTAACAAGGGGGAAGCCTCACACCCAAAGAAGGTGTATCAGGATGATGTGGATGAGTTCCAAAATTCAGTCCATGCAGGAAACAGAGGTGCAGCAAGCTGTACTATCACCCCTCCCTACTTCCTTCTTTCCTCTCTGTATTCGGGCAAACCACAGAGAAATGATTCCAGCGGCCACAGTGACTCTCCTTACTCACCCCCTGCCGAATGCCCTCTAACAATTACTGCATGCTTGCCTTGGACTCCCCTGGGTTCCTTCTGCTTTTCCTACTGCCACCCAGCAGCTATCAGTTCTCTGGCTTGTTCTCTGTGAAAGCGCACAATCAGTTTGCTGATGTCAAGATCTTTCCGTCATATGCCCTGTGCTGGACAGAGAGAAAGGTGAAGTTAACGGAAACTTTTCATGTCCCTAGAGAAATGTCCTTGCTTGTGGACTACCTTACATAAAAGGACACGGGAGTTAGGAAGCCCTAATTTCATGGATCTAAAGCAAACCATGTGAACTAATTAATACGGTCTATTAGAGTGTGCTCAGGGATCCATTCCTACCTGCTTGGGGATATTTCTGCCCCTTGTTCCTACTCTCTGGTCTGTTCTAAGAAACAACCATGCAGGCAGGAAACACCATGAAAAGCCTTCTGTAATGCATCTCTGCTATGCACATCTTCATCCTAGTATTTAGTATAATGAATGATATCATTCTGTTACAGTCATCCCATCATCCATGTGGCAGGGAGAACAAATATCCTAGCAAGGCAGGTCTAGGGACCAAGCATCGAACTTGGTCATACACTTACATGACCTCAAGACTGATGCTGTCTGTCTTAGGATTTCTGTTGCTTTAAGAAAACACCAAGGCCAAAGTGAGGGCGTGGAAAGGATTTATTTCAGCTTACAACTCCCAAGTCACACTCTGTCACTGAAGAAAGTCAGGGCAGGAAGTCAGACAGGGCAGAAACCTGAAGGTGGGAAGTGAAGCGGAAGCCATGGGGGAATGTTACTGAATTGCTCACCATGGTTTTCTCAGCCTGCTTTGTATAGAATCCAGGACCACCTGCATCACTCACAATGAGCTACGCTTGACCACATCAGTCATCAATCAAGAAATGTACCACAGGCTTGCCTAAAAACCAAATTAGTGGAGGATTGTTGCTATTGAGGTTCCCTCTTCAAAATGACTCTGGACGGTGTCAAATTTAAATACAACTAGCTAGCATAGTGTCCTAAATTGATTTTAATTGTGACAAAGGGAACATAGTATAAAATCAACCGTTTTACCCACTTGAAGTGTGTACTTCAGTGCCATTGAGCACATTCACATTATACAGCTATTACCTGCATCCCCCATCCAGAACTCTGAACCCACTAAACAACACCTCTCCGCATCCTTTCTCTGCCCACCCCTCACACTTGCCATCAACCTTCCTGTCTCTATGAATCTGATGCCTCCTCCTACAAATGGAATTGCATGTGACCGTTTCCCACCGTAGCGCCTTCAAGGTTCACACCTATGTTGTAACCTACATTCAAATGCTTCTCTCTTTTTTTTTAATTTTTATTTTTGTTTTGCAATACAATTCAGTTCTACATATCAGCCATGGATTCCCTTGTTCTCCCCTCTACGGTCCCCCTCACCTTCCCCCCAGCCCACCCCCCATTCCCACCTCCTCCAGGGCAAAGCCTCCCCCGTGGACTGAGATCAACCTGGTAGACTCAGTCCAGGTAGGTCCAGTCCCCTCCTCCCAGGTCGAGCCAAGCAATCCTGCATAGGCCCCAGGTTTCAAACAGTCAACTCATGCAAATGCTTCTCTTTTTAATGCCATGTTTTACTCCTCCATTCACCCATCAATGGCCTCTTGGGCTGTTCCCACCTTTAGTCTATAAACTCCAACGTACAGATATCTTTAGGTCTCTGATTTCAAGTCCCAGAGCATGTCCTCCAGTGTAATGAGTATATGAGGCAGATGATAACCTGTCTTAACACTCTGAAGAACCGCCTTACAGTTTTCCTAGCCAATGGCGTAGAAAGAATCCAGTTTCTCCATATCCTCACAAACACATATGTTCTGTGGTTTGTTTCAGGTTTTAATGGTAGCCCTTCTGTGTAATGATGTGATAGCTCGTGACTTTGATCTGCATTCTCCAGATGTGACATCTGACATCTTACTTGTTTATGTTCTTTGTGTAATGTCTATCCAAGTCACCTGTCTGTTTCTAATTGGATTGTTTGGGGGTGTTTTTGAATTAGACAAATTATTTACATATTCTGTGTGTTAGCTTATTAATATACATATGATTTGCACATATTTCTCTGCATCCTATAGACAGCCCTTCTACACTGTTGACTGTTTTCAACTAACTCTCAATCATTTGATTTTACCAATAAAAACCCAGGAGCCAGATGGCTGGCATGGAAACCTGCTAGCCCAGAGAGGCAGAGAAAGCACCCAGCTGACCTTCTTCCTCCTCTGATGTCCCAGGAAGAGTTTTCTTCTACACCAGCTCAAACAAAACTCTTCAAACTGAATGTCCCTCCCTTCTACTTCCTGTGCATCCCTCTATCCATCCTCCTGACTCCCTCTTACTCTCTATGATTTTTTCCTGTCCAACTGGTTGCTTGCTCCAACTCTTGACCTAAGGGTTGACTTTATTTAATCCTGTTTACAATATTCAAGCAGAAACCTCCTGGATTAAAGGTGAGTGCTAGGACTGAACCACACCACAACTAGAAACAGTTTTTTGTTTTTTTTTTTTTTTTTTTTTTTTTAGTAAATAACACAATCTCGGGGCTCACAGTGTAATCAAATATCCTGCAACAGTTGACAGTATCCTTTGATGCATAGAGATGAGCCTGTAAATTCCACACTTCAGCTCCCTGTTGCCCCACCCTAGTCCTGGCCCCAAATATTAGCCCTTGTCCACAAAACACTTGACAAACTGAATGTATTTGAAATGACAGAGATTCCATTCAGGTTTTTGAAAGCTTAATTAAGCACAAAGCTTTGTTTTTCTGAACTCCTCTGAAAGACAGCCATGTTGGAATGCTGTTTCTCAGGCCTGGTCTATCTTCCTTCCCTCTTACAAAAGAACCCTGCTGTGCTGTCCATGACTGCTTAGGAACTCCTGTCAAACTCCCACATGCCAAGCACGGTCTTATGTATCTTACACATGAAATACACGGGTTGCAAACACATATTTCATTCTAGTCATTCTTGCAGCATCCTGATGAGGTGTATGCTAGTTGGATCCCCGGTCTGCACCAGCAGAGTTAATAAGTTGCTGGAGGTGATGCAGCTAATAGGTGGCAGACTGAACATTTAAGTCACAGAATCCTCTTCCAGATTCCGTACACTTAACAATTGTAAGCTGCAGCAAGGCGACATCATCCCTTAACACATATTCCGTGTTTTAAGTTATTTCAGACTTTGGCATCCCCAGTGCAGTTGGCTGCCAGCATACTGCATTTTTAGTCTTCACTTAGACATCATGGCTTCTCTCCCAGCATTTCTCTTCTTTCCTTTGGCTCACAGAAACAACTTATAGTCTATCCTCACATGGGTAAGTTCTGAGCCTCTCTACCAACTCATCCCTTCCTACCTCGTGCTGGATCCCTAAGGATTCCTGTGAGCTGAAGTCAGGGATAATACACAATCTCCAGGCATCCTGTTTTAGAGCAATGATGTACCATCTCTACCCCTCCTGGGTCAACAAGACTTTTGAGAGCTGAGAGAAACTGCACTGTCCTCTTAGGTACCAACACCAACAGCTGCACACATCACACTTCAGCTGCAGGCAACAAAACTAACACCATCATCACAGGTCCAATGTCTCAGTCAGCTGTCCATCTCAAAGAAAGCAATAATTCAGCCATGTGCTCACATACCCTCCTTCGCTGATAATGTGTTGTATGCCTCTATCCTTCCACCAAGATGGATCACAAAGTACTAGTTAAGGAAAAGGCCAACTCATTCCATGAAAAGAGATGTTTTATTAAAACAAGTAACAACACTAGGAGACGACCAGCTCCCTTCTGTAGATATGCGGGAATACTTCACATGTTGACAAATGTTCCCCTGGGGCTGGTTTTCACCTGCTGTCGTCCCGTGTCCCACTGAATCCAAGGTGAAAATAGCTTACTGGCTGCTATGATCATTTTGACTTCTTGTTCATGCAGGATCCTGTGGCGCTACTCTCAGACCGGAAACTGGGTGTACCCTGTGTTTGCCTACCTCAGCCCACTGGGTATTATCATCTTCTTCTCAGCTGCTTACATCCTGAATGCTGGCATTTACCTGCTTGGAGAGAAGATCAATCACTGGAAGTGGGGTCAGTGCTTCCCTTTTGTCCACAGTCCAGAGATACTTTTTCTTATTCCTTCTCCACTCTCCACCCAAACCAAAGGAAAACTTATATTTTTGGTTGTAAGCCTAGCCTTTAATGGCTGAGCTATCCCTCCAGCCCCCAATGGAAAACTTAGTCCAAACCAGAAGACCACACTGCTAGGAGACTTTGTTCATAGAGCTCAAGTAGGTCATATGAAAGCTGGAAGAAGAAAAGTCAGATGCAAATTGGCATTTCCAAGGGTCTCTTCTCTCCTGTCAAATAATATCTCATTTAACTCCAAGACCAAATCGTCTTTTGAAATTTTAGGACCCAAAGAACAAGGTGTTACCACCTCAGACATGGGGGGAGAATCCTATAAGAGTCTTCACTCCCCGCAGTGAGGGCTTCAGGGATAGGAACTCTCAAAGTATGAGTTCTTTCATCCTAGAAAAATGTGGCTCTTATTCTAAACTGTAAGAGATAGCTTATTCTGAGCTAAATGTGAGTAAGCATGGCCCAGTAAACATGGACTCAGGTTGCTCTAGATGACATCATCCTCCTCTACTGAAGAAGGGACATGAACTTACACAGTCACAGAACAAAGGACAATAACAAATCAATGCATTAAACCAAACATTGATGTATAGATGGGGACAGCAGGTAGGTGGACCCATGGGCTACAGCAAAATGGGAAAGACTCTGCTATAGGTTTCAGATATTATCTGATGACTCTTAGTCTGGGGAATAGTGGAAGTCAGGAGTGTGTCAAGTTAATCCATTCCAAAGGTTGCCTTTTTTATTCCTTTTTTTTTAATTTAAAATTATTTTTCATTTTACATACTAACCCCTATTTTCTCCCCCTCCCCTTCTCCTGCTTTCCCTCACATTCCCCCATCCCACCCCCATCCCCTCCTCATAGGGGATAAGGCCTCTCTTGGGTAGTCAACACAGGCTGGCATACCAAAGTTGGGGTAGGACCAAGCCCCTTCCCCCAGCATCACTGCTGAGTAAGGCATCGCACCATAGGAAATGGGCTCTAAAAAACCAGTTCGTGTACCTGGGATAAGTCCTGGTCCCATTGCCAGGGGACCCACAAACACATCAAGCCACACAACTGTCACCCACATTCAGAGGGCCTAATTGCGTTCCATGCAGGCTCCCCAGCTGTCAGTCCAGAGTCCATGAGCTCCCACTAGCTTGGGCCAGCTGTCTCTCTGGTTTTTCCAATTATGATCCTAACCACTCCACCCGTGCTCCTATAGTCCCTCCTCTATCTCTTCAACTGAACTCTAGAAGCTCGGCCAAGTGCTTGGCTGTGGGTGTCTGCATCTGCTTCCATCAGTCACTGGATGTAGGTTCTATGATGACAATTAGGATAGACACCAATCTGAGTACAAGGGAGGGCTAGTTCAAGCACCCTCTCCACCACTGCTATGAGTCTTAGCTGGGGACATCCTTGTGAGTTCTTGGGGATTTCCCTAGCTCCAGATTTCTCCCTAACCCCTTAATGTTTCACTCTGTCAAAATATCTCTTTCATTGCTCTCCCTCTCCATCCCTCCCCCAACTTGGCTATCTCAAACCCTCATGTTTCCACCCCCCATTCTCTTCCCTCTACACCCCCTCCCAGTTTACCCTTTCCCCTTCCTGGGGTGATCCATGTGTGTTCCTCTTACGATCCTCCTCTTTACCTAGCTTCTCTGGGGTTGTGGATTGTAGCCTGGTTATCCTTTGCTTTACATCTAATATCCACTTATAAGTGTGTGTATACCATGTTTGTCTTTCTGGGTCTGGGTTACCTCACTCAGGATGAATTTTTTCTAGTTTCATCCATTTGCCTACAAATTTCATGATGACATTGGTTTTAACTGCTGCGTAATACTCCATTGCATAAACATACCACATTTTCTTTATTCATTCTTTGGTTGAGGGGCATCTAGGTTGTTTCCAGGTTCTGGCTATTACAAATAATGCTGCTATGAAAATAGTTGAACAAATGTCCTTGTGGTGTGGTTGAGCATCTTTTGGGTATATGCCCAAGAGTGGTATTGCTGGTTCTTAAGGTAGGTTCATTGCCAATTTTCTGAGAAACCGCCCTACTGATTTACAGAGTGGCTGTACAAGTTTGCACTCCCACCAACAGTGGAGAAGTATTCCCCTTTCTCCACATCCTCTCCAACATAAGCTGTCATCAGTGTTTTTGATCTTAGCCATTCTGACAGGCAGAAGATAGTATCTCAGAGTTGTTTTGATTTGCATTTCCCTGATGGCTAAGGATGTTGAACACTTCCTTAAATGTCTTTCGGCCATTTGAGATTCTTCTGTTGAGAATTCTCTGCTTAGATCTACACCCCATTTTTTAACTGGATTATTTGATATTTTGATGTCCAATTTCTTGAGTTCTTTATATATTTTGGAGATCGAATTCCAAAGGTTTTATGTGACAGTCTAAAGAGATGGTAGGCCAGATACAGAGGTAGACAACAAATAGTTATTAAGGGGAGTAAAGATATCCCAGGATAATTTTAGTGCAACATCCCTGGAATTTGGGGGAGGGTGGTGATAGTTTATGTTTTAATTCTGCAAGAAGACATGCAGGAATTCACCTTGGTTTTGTATATAACAAAGTGAAGAAATCAGCTGTAGTCACCACCCCCAACCATTCAGCTACCAGCAGTTCTGGGCCATCAAACAGAAATGGCATTTCCCACCCATTCTCTGCATCCATGAGAGGCATAAGCTTGTGGGTGCAAAGAGCAGGCAGTTTCCAGGGGCCTAGACAGAGCTACTTCGAAGGGATGCTGAGAGCGTGGAAAAAGATGTTCAACTTGAATCTGTGCATTTGCTTCTTTGGGGAGATTTAGTTTGTTTTTGTTTGTTTTTTAATTAATTTATTTATTTTACATCCTGACCACACTTTCCCCTCTCTCCTCTCCTCCCATTCCCTCCCCCACCTCCTTTCTGCCCTCCCCATCTACTCCTCTTCCATTTCTGTTCAGAAAGGGACTTAAAGGGAGTGTTTTCTATGAAAGTAAACATTTAAAATGAGATGCTACAAACAAGAAACAAAACTAACTCAAATGCAAAAATAAAAACAAGCTCCTAAAACCAGTATTTCAAACCCAGAATTCCAATTCACAGGGAAATCACTGAGAGGTGGGGATTGGGATTTCAAATGTATGGGCATCTAATTCTAGCAATTTGGGGCTACTTGAATTTCTGGGTAAAGATTTCTGATGACTTTCAAAGATCAGTAATTCTGAAAAAGAAACAGGAGGGAGGAAGTAAGGAGGTGGAGGAGAGGACTAATCCATTTGGAATCTGATGGATAGAAATACAGATAAAGAAAACCCAATTACTTAGAGATTATCAAGAACAGTAGGTTTTTAAATCAGTTGTATTGAGTTTGAAGATGATTGATGTTTTAAATTGTTTCTTTACAAGAGTGAATGTTAAACACCTTGAATTAAAACATAAAACATCACTCCTGAATTCTAGGGACTCCCACACCCTCTGGGTTCTGAGAGCATTTGCACACACGGTACACATAAAGTCACACAGACAGACACTTATGCACATAAGTAAAAATAACAAATGCATTTTCAGAGACAGGGTTTCTTTGTGTAGCCTTGGTTGTCCTAGAACTAGCTGTGTAGACCAGGCTGGCCTCAAACTCACAGAGATCTCTCTGCCTCTGGAGTGCTGGGATAATAAATACATTTTTAATAAAATAAAATATTACTGTGTTTATTATCCTTCAAATCCCCATAGCAGCAAGCCCCTAATATGCTCTACTGCCGAGCATTGTGCCCAGTTTTTCTTATAGCGAGTATCAACACACAGGCTCTCACTTTCCAAGAACATGCACATGATGTACAAGATGGAGATTAGTACAGACAATGATGTGCCTCTCCTCTAACTCTGCATTCGTAAGAAAAACAAAGAAACAAAAAGACAGGTGAAAAGTCTTACATTGCATCAGAATAGAGTAAGAGTTACATCCTGAACAAATATCATTCATTGCAAAGAACCAAAGGATTAGGGAGAAAGTGTAGTGAGGGCGGGCCATGGTTGACACCCACCATAAGGCTCCCACTTGAGAGGCTGAGAGACGAAGGCAGGAAGATCAATCACAAGCTCGAGGGCCAGCCCAAGCTACTGCTTCAAAGCAGGGGAAAGTATTAGAAGAAAAACTAGACCCCTCAAAATTCCAATGGCAGTGAACGCTTTTAAATGACTGAACTGCCACAGGACTGTCTGTGCAAACTCCACCGTCCTCTCTCCTAACAGTATTGTGGTCCTCCCTCCCCCAGCTTCCAGAAGAAAGCCCCAGCCTCAAAGCACACAGATTCTTTGGGACTCAGTAACTATCTTGGTGTTCTCTCATCCTTGTCTACAATTCCTTCCTTTCCCTCCCTCTGGCCCCTGTGGGTTTATACCCCCACTCTATCCCCAGCCTTTGCCTGGCTCACATTCACTCACTTAGTTCAGCTTACCTCCTCTGGGATGGCTGCCCTGATCTGCCCAGGTTGGACTCAATGTCCTTTCCAGTTGTTCCATGGCTCTTCCTCTATCTGTTAAATGTCAGACCTATCACTTTAGCATTACTGACTTTGCTAGAGCTTTAGGGTTTTGTCTTTGTAGGAGGCCTTGAGTTTCTTAAGGGTCAGCATGCCTTAGCCATCTTTGAACATCCATTTCTGCTAGTTTTTCCAATGACTCAATCAGAGCAAACAGTTTAAAGGGGGTCAGTGGGGCTTTTCTCTCTAGGCAGGAAGAGAAAATTCTTACAAAGATTTTTCTGGAAATAGCCGTCAAGAGGGTATCTCTAGTGGTTGCAAATTAGAACATTGGGTCAGGAGTTGGTGTCTAGGCAGGTGGAGCTGTGGTGGACCCACTGAAGAGCTGTTGAAGAAAGAGGTGCATATCAAAGCAGGCCATCTAAAGCAGCCAAGACCACTGAGATAGTCATCCTGCATTGTGCTTCTCCAAGGCAGTCCACTGAAACCAGGAAATGTTCTTCACATTTTCAATTCAGCATCTCAGATGAATGTAGTTGTAGATACACAACTGTCAATACCTAGGAGCCCATTTTTAAAAATTTGCCTTGTGTTCTGACTACTGGAGTTATAAAGATATGCATGATATCTGTACAGATAAAAGGATTTTCTTTGCCACACCAACAGATAAATATTACATATTTGTCTGAAACTCTCTCTCTAGCCTTTGACATATATGAAAGAGGATGAGAAAAAGACAAGAGAAGTCAGGGTGGATCTAACTATCTGACTGCCAAGTAGCAGGCTTCCCACTGTGAAGCATTCCCTTCAATCAAAAAGTACTCTAGTAAACAACATTATTTCCCCCTCAGAGTTTGAAATCCACTTTGTAAATGTCATTTATATAAGACAGATGACCTATTAATAAGTTGGCAGTGTTTCCATGCAATATAGAAACACGGTCAGAGATAAATTTTGAAGACACAAGGGAGTGTGGAAATTGCTCAGCTCTGAGAGAATGCAAAACTAAAGATCCATCTCATGCCTCTGTATGGTAGAAGCAAAAAGAAAAACACTATTTCTGAGAAATTCAAAGCATGTAATTCTCTACAGAATAAAGTGATTCGAATCTCCACACACAGAATTGTGTGGGAAGGTGACTTCTCCATGTTGGTGAGTATATTAGCCAGCTTCTCATTGCTGTAGTGAAACACCTAAGAGAGTTAGTGTCAAAAAGCAGAAAGTTCTACATGTACCTTACGTTTTTTTGGGGGGTTCTATTGATTTAGCTTCAGGTGAAAGTAGCATATAGGTTAAGGTGATAGTGCTTTTTAAAGATCAAGTAAGTTAACACATCTCACACTATAAAGAGAGTAATTAGCCGGGCGGTGGTGGCGCACGCCTTTAATCCCAGCACTCGGGAGGCAGAGCCAGGCGGATCTCTGTGAGTTCGAGGCCAGCCTGGGCTACCAAGTGAGTTCCAGGAAAGGCACAAAGCTACACAGAGAAACCCTGTCTCAAAAAACAAAAAAAAAAAAAAAACAAAAAAAAAAAAAAGAGAGTAATTAATGGGATCAAAGCCAAGGCAACTAACAGTCCTATGAGAATTTCTCCTTAACCCCGATAACCTAAAAATCTCCCACTATGCTCCACCTCTCAAAAGTTCCCTAAGCTCCCAACAGGACTGCCCTGAGCCAAGACTAATCATAGTAGAGGCTTGGGGTTAACTCAAATCACGCCATGCCAGTGCAGTGGATATGTAGACATCTCCTAACATCCCACCTAGATGCTTAAGTTTGTATGGAGGAGACTCTGATGTGGAGGAAGGAGGTACCCTCCTCTTCCAACAGACCTTAAACCATCGTTTCTGCTTTACTCTTGAGTCTTTGTACTCTGCACTGGGCCTGAGGAGAGAAGTTAAGGTTACAATCATATGCAAGAGGTGAGACTTGGAAGCACATGAGTAGAGAGAATGTTAGAAGCCCTGTGAGAAAGTGCAGAGAAAACATATTTGAGAAATGTATATTGATCAAGCCTTTGATTGTGAAGGAAGCAGCTTGCTATTTAGTTGACTTAGATGATACTTACTGGGCTAAAGCACACTGCAGTAAAGAGGGGGAGCTGTGATTGAACTTAGAGCATAGAGAAGACTTACTGGGCAGGTGTGGTGGTGTACACCTTTAATCCCAGCAGTGGGGCATAAATAGGCAGTTGTCTGTAAATTCAAGGCCAGCTGGGTTTTCCAGGCCAGCCAAGGCTACATCATGAGACCCTATCTCAGAAAGAGAGAAAGAAAGAGGGGAAGAAAGAAAGAGAGAGACAGAACAGGAACAAACCTGTGAAGACTTACTGGACTTGGTGTGACTCACATAAAAATGGAAAAAGAATAGAATTAATGAATGTAATATGGAGCCTGTAGGGCTCAGTAGATACTTAGGCTTTGCTGAAGTGATTGCAACAATCTGAGCTGATGAGAAGGATGAATGCAAGGGTGTTCATAAGGATCTTGGGATCAGGAGATAGTATTTTTTAAGGAAATCAAGGTGACCGAAAGGCCACAAGGAGGACTTCAAGATACCAGTCACCTCCCTAGAGAGATGGCTCAGTGGTTAAGAACAACAACTGATCTTCCAGAGGATCCAGGTTCAATTCCCAGCATCCATATGGTGGCTCACAACTGTCGGTAACTCCAGCCCCAGGAAATCCAGCACACTGTTCTGGCTTCTGAGGTCACTGTACACACGTGGTACACAGATATGCATTCAGGCAAACACATAAAATGAGAATAAGTAAAATCTAAAAAACAAAAAGGCCCAAAAAACTAAAACACTCACCGTAGCCTCTGAATACTAAGGCAAATAGAAGATTTGTAATAGATACTGGGTTTTGTGGGTTTGCTTGATTTTACTTTTATTTATTTTATTTTATTTATTTATTTATTTATTTATTTATTTATTTTTTTTTTGGAGCTGAGGACCGAATCCAGGGCCTTGCGCTTGCTAGGCAAGCACTCTACCATTGAGCTAAATCCCCAACCCCTGATTTTACTTTTAGTAGTGCTGGAATTGAACCCAGGGACTTGCACACCCTACTTAGGAACTATATTCGCAGCCACAACGTGTATTTGTTGAAAATAGAAGTGTTGGATGTGGCAGTCTGAAGGATGAATACAGCCCGGCATTTTGTATGTGTTTGTTTGCTTTGGAATTAGCATATAATACATTGTTTCATTGTGGCATTTTCATACATTTATTTTTGTTAATCCTTCTCCCAACTTCTTCCCCACCCATCTGTCACCCGGGCTGGATTCTTCCCATGCCAGCATCCCACTTGCTACTCTCATGTCCCAGGTGTTCTGTTACCCTCTTCCCTTTCTTAAAACCTCCATTTCCCCTCTCAATCCCTTTTCTGATTTTCAGACCTATACCTTCTTCATTCAAACAACCCACTTAAGCACATGTATATAAAAATTAGAAGCTTGGATCTATGTATGAAAACTTGTGTTTGTCTTTCTGAGTATGGCTCACTCAATAGAATAATTTCCAGATTCTATTTCCTGGCAAATTTCATTTATTATTTTTTTTTTGATGGCTGAATAGTCCATTGTTATGTGTGTTACAATTTTATTATCTATTCATCTGTTGGTGAATATCTAAGTGTTCCCATTTTCTAACTTTTTGGTTAGAACAGCAATCAACCTGGATGAACTGGTACTTCTATGGTAGAACACCGCAGTTTTGTATATGCCTAGAAATGGTATATGTGTGCCATATGGTAGTTCTATTTTCAGAATTGTTTTGTTGTTGTTGAAAAACCTCCATACTGATTTTCACAGTGGTGACACCAGTTCACACTTCCGTTAGAATGGACCGCGCTCCTCCTTCCACACATCCTCACCAGCATTTGGTGTCATTTGTTCCCTTGATCATAGCCATAGTGAAATGCAAGTTTATTTTTATTTTGCCTTTCTTTGATGGCTAAGGGTGTTGAGCATTTTTTAAAAAATGTTTATTGACTGTGTTTCTTCTTTTGAGAACTGTTTGATACTTGTGGAACGATAGCTTTTGTTTATTTTTTTAATTTTCTGAGTTCTTTATATATTCTAGATACTAATCCCCAACTGAAACATGGCTGGCCATGCTTCTCTCCTGTTCTGTAGGCTGTCTGTTCACTCTCTTGCTCTCTGCTGCTGTGCAGCTTCCAGCCTAGGAGCTGGAGCATGAAATCACTACAGCACTACCAGACCAGAGATACTACGGTTCTGATTCCCACAAAGAGGAAGAGACTGAGCTGAGAAAAAAAAATTTCAAAGTACAACTAAGTATTTGGTAATAGACAGGACAGATAATAAGCTGTGGAGAGGTTATCAATTTCAAAGCTTGTGCCAACATTAGCAATCATGAAATATGGAGCTACCAACCTGTTAGCTTAATGGAACATATTCTAGTAATGTCATGCATGGTTTCCACAGAAGAATGACCCTATACTGTGCTTACCCAAAACAAATCCTGTGTCAGTACTGATATAAATTGGTTTGGGAGAAGCCATGGAGGACCCCAAATGGGTGGACTTCCACTCTTCTATTTCCTCTCTAATTTCATTCAGTCTCTTTGTTAGCAAAGTCTCTGCATTTTCTGATGGATGTGTGCAGTACACAGCCCTTACCCAAAGCACCAGCAACTGGAGGCTGATTTGAGGATGCTGTGCAGACCAATAGCATCACTGAATACCTGGCTAACCACACACTGAGCTCCAAGGCAGAAGACTAGATTGCTTCTTGTCCTTGCAGCAATAGTGGCTGTTTTTCAGAGTTCATCTCTCCTTAAGAAAAAGTGTTTTTGACTTCCCACTGCCCCATCAGAGTGAATATTTACCCACTCTCAGAATACCCACTAGGGAACCCTGTCTGAGGTATCTCTGTGTCTGTTTGTGCAGGTGCCACAGTGAAGCCATGGATGAAGAAGAAATGACCACACACTATTTTCCAAGAGCCATGGAAGAAGAAACCTAAGAACTGGTCATCTTTCTGTTATTCTCATTATCATTATTTCTTTTGAGATCAGTGGTAGAATAGCATGCAGAGATAGAAAGGACAGAGAATGATGCATACATTTAATAAAGGGTATGAAGGGAGCTTTGCTTGAGATCTCTTGGTTTTCTAAAAGGCTGATAGACAATTCCTGATGTATCAGAATCTGTTGTTGTTGTCTGACCTCCATGGAGGATTAATTCTGACTAAAAAGGTCAAAGAAGCATGTGCAAACTTGCTGGTGGACTATGTAGAGAAGGGGTGTGGAAAGAGGAACTTAGAGTCATCCAGTCATCCATCACTTTACCTTCAAGGGGGATGGTGAGGACCCAGATGACAAGTTATATCCATCAAAATAATTGTCATGCTGGAGTAGCAGTGTACATGGGTATTTCCAGCATGCTGGATGCTAAATCAGAAAGATCATGAATTCAAGGCTGTCCTGGGCAGCCAAGTAAGACCCTGTAGTGGTTTGAAAGAAAATGGCCCCCAAAGGGAGTGGTACTACTAGGAGATATGGCCTTGTTGGACTAGATGTGGTCTTGTTGGAGGAAGTGTGTCACTGTGGATGTGGGCTTTGGGGTCCCACATATGCTCAAGCCATGCCCAGTGAGACAAATTACTTCCTGTTGACTGCCTATCAAGATGAAGGTCTCTCAACTCCAGCACTGTGTCTGCCTACATGCTACCATGTTACACCATGATAATGGACTAAACCTCTGAAAATGTAAGCCACCCCAAATAAATGTTTTTCCTTTATAAGAGTTGCCATGGTCATGGTGTCTCTTCACAGCAATAGAAATCCTAACTAAGACAGACCCTGTCTGTAAAAGACCAAAAAGAGGAAAAAAAAAAAGGAAGGAAGGAAGGAAGGAAGAAAGAAAGAAAGAAAGAAAGAAAGAAAGAAAGAAAGAAAGAAAGAAAGAAAGAAAGGAAAAAAGAAAGAAAGAAGAAAGAAAAATTGCTATCACAAAGAAGACAATGGCTTATACTCCTAGATCTCTCAACATCCTGTGCTGGGCCATTTTTCAATAATCCCAACTTTTCTAACACCCAAGTATTTTAAAAGCTAATTGTTTTCAGTGATTTCTGACCTATTATCCCTTGATTTAGAATTGTAATTGTAAAGACACAAAAGCTACTAAAAGTGTCTGTCTGCCTAGTATGACAGTGAACTCACTGGAGCAGTGAGTATAATCTCTAATAAGTGATGAGAAGTCCACCCCCTTTCAGAGCACACATTTGTGGCAGGAATTAACATGGGACGTAAGGAGCTGTCAAATGACTCTTCCATTTGAATACTGAGTTGAATGGAGGCATAGGTGAAATCAATGTGTGTAGCATATGCGAAGAAGAATCTAGCTGAGAAGAAGGTAAATGTAAGCAAACGCATCCATACAAACTATGGGCTCAGGTGACTCCCAAGGGCTCAGGAACTCTTTAATTTTCCTGGTGGGTTTTAGGTCCATTTGCCTCATTGCTGTGTACTTGTTGTACATAAAACTGGGTCTTGTAAAAAAGAATTCCTTTTAAGAGTATATCATGCATTTTACCCATATTCACCTCCCAAGAACCTCCCCTCTCTCCCCCTTGCCCAACCCCTGCTCCTTCTCTCAGCTTCCCTACTGATCTCATCTCCTCCCCCTACACACACACACACACACACACACACACACACACACACACACACACACACACACACAGAGTTCCATGTATTTATATATAATTTAAGATCCACATATGAGAAAAAAGCCATATTTGTCTTTCTGCGTTTGGCTTATTACCTTAATTAGATGCTCTCCAGGTACATCCACTTTCCAGCAAAGGACATAATTTCATTCTTCATGAGCGAATTAAACTGTATTCATATAAAGATTTCTCATGTTTCTTGTGTTTCTGTGTTAGGGTTTGCACATGTGGGATTAAGGCCCTTGGTTGGATTTGGTTTTAATCACCCACACTCTTGTTGTACTCCCGTGGGACCAGGTTCTGCTTATACTGCAGAGTCATTCTACCCTACTACTGGTAGTTAGGCCATCAGCCCTGTGCTCAGGCAACAGATTCTATCTCCAGCTGTGCTTGTTGGGTTCTGTCAACTTTTTTTTTTTTTTTTTTTACACAAACCTGTATGTATCTGGGAAGAGTGAAGAGGGAATCTTACTGAGAAAATACTTCCATAAGATTGGCCTGTAGGTTAGTTTATAGGGCATTTTCTTAATTAAGGATTGATGTGGATGGTAGCACCCATGGTACCCATGGTTGTCCTGGGCTATCTAAGAAAGCAGCCTGGGAAATCCATGGAGAAAGAACCAGTAAACAGCATGGTCCCATGGCCTTTGCTTGAGTTCCTGCCTCCAGCTTCCTGCCCTGCCTTGAATTCTGCCCTGACTTCCCTCGGTATAATGGACTGTTACCTAGAAGTATAAGCAAAACAACCCCTTCCTCCCCAAGTTGCTTTTGGTCATGCTGTTTTATCACAGCAATAAAACCCCAACTAAGACACCAGTAGAAAGCTATCGGATTTGAAAGAACCACAACTGATAAACAGGCTCATATGAAAATACAGCAATAACCAAACAAGAAAATGTGTCAAGTCTGTCTCTGAAATCCCTCAGGAGGCCAGGGAGTGGGGGCTAAGCCTACCTCTGTGTTGTCTCTCGTGGGTGTGTGGGTGCTGCCCTTTAGCCCTTATGTGAATGGGCTGAGGGTGTCTGCTTGTCTCTATGCAGGCCACTCCAGACTATGGCTCAGAAAAGATTCCTGCCTCACGCAGTCTTCTGTATAGGTACCCTGAAGGCCAGGTCACAGGAGATCTGTGACACTTGCTCTGGGTTTCCCGGGGTCAGCCGTGTGGGAAGGCACCTTTGCCTCTAAAGCTGCCTAGTAACCCTTTTTGAAATGGCTTTTTGCCTCAGCTCCTGTTTGGTACCGAGAAAGGGTTTTATCAGCAACTGTCCTCCCCTGCTGGAGTAGCTACAGCTACGACGCCTCCCCCATGATCTTTAAATTATCTACTGTAGATAGAGTGGTGTGAATTCTCTGAGGTTCTCTCTTTTTAATTTTTAAAATTATGTATATACACGGGGTGTGAGTGTGTGTGTGTGTGTGTGTGTGTGTGTGTGTGTGTGTGTGTGTAAGTGACGTGACATGCCAGCAGAGGGAGGCCTGAAGAGGATCTGAACTCCCCTGCAGTTGGAGTTACAGGTGGTTATCAGCCATCTAACTTGGGGACTGTAAACTGAACCAGAGTCCTCTGTGAGGGAATACATGCTCTTAACCACTGAGTCCTCTCCTTGACGTCCTCTGTTTTAAGCCATGATTACCACCCTGTGTGTTACTCTCACAGTGGGAGGACCCTCCTGAACAGATGCAGGATTCTCTCCTTCCATTCTGTTCCCAAAGTTTTCTTTCTTTCCTCATTACTGAAACTCGTGAGAGTTTTTCCTGCCAGCACCCATCTCAGCCCGTGATTGTTCTCACAATTACGCCCCATTTAACTGCTGACGTTTCTAGCTGTGAGTTTGATCTGCCACAGTCCTACTAGGGTCACTTTCTGGGAACACAATGGCAAGTGTCTGGCGATGGGAAAGCATGACTGAGTCCTCTCAGTGTGGGTTGGGATGTGGGCACCATGGTGGAGTGGGCACCATGAGAGTGGAGTGGGCACCATGAGAGTAGAGTGGGCACCATGATAGTGGAGTGGGCACCATGATAGTGGAGTGGGCACCATGAGAGTAGAGTGGGCACCATGGTGGAATGGGTACCATGGTGGAGTGTCCACTTGGCTTCCTGACCTAACATTATATAGGGAGGGGCTGGGTAAAAGTAGACACCCAAAAAAATCCTTAAAGAATTACAGATGTATGGAAGAGTGAAATAGTCTGAGATTTGGGGCACACATCCCAAGGAAAAACTACCAGACTAGGGCAAGTACTAAGAATCCTGTTTTGGTTTTTTCTCCTAGCTACAGTGGGCTATGAGCCTCCAGATTTTTTCCCCTTGAACCAGGAGCTCCACCTCCTGCTCACACCTGCTGCTACTCTGAACTGCCTGGAGCACCTGGTCTCAGGGGAGGCCCAGGAGCAGTTGTCAGGGTGGAAACTCCCTGAATGTGAAGCTCACAGGGGATGGCCCCAGTTTTCCATGCCGGGAAGATGACCTGGGCTGCATTCTTCTCACAGGCATACTAACTCCTGTTCCAGAGGAGCCCGTTTCTATTTGCAGCTTTACTGTCCTGACACCAGATTAACCCTTGATGTCAGCGTGGCTGGCCACCGTGCAGTTCTGTTCTGACACCAGAACCACCTCAACCCGGTGTCCCACTGGGCACATGCTTAATAAGCAGACAGGTGTTTCTTGGGGCTGGTGTAGTTAAATTACAAGCAATAAGACACATAATGAATGCTAATTAAACATTCATGAAAAGACATATAGCATTTGCTGCCTGCATAAGGCTGTGTTAGAGGCCTTAGTGGTAAGAATATGATAATAACAGGAGCCAAATGATGATGCCAGCAGTCACATTTGAGTAGTGTAATCACTACTAGTGATTCCTAATCACTCTCATTTCAGCCTCACAGTACTATGTATGTAGAAAATGTGTTGGGTCCCCATTTTACAATCAGTTAGATTGACCTTCTGATAGTGGTGTGCTGGTAAATGTTTAATGACCACCAACAAATTAAGCTCCTAATTCATGATGCTGGCTCCTTTCCATGGTGTAAACACCACCACCACCACCACCCTGCCCCAACCGGTGATCATTTTTTTAAGCTATCAAGATGCTACTAGAGTTGACAAGAGATGTGCCCAACCCTTTGGTCCCAGAGAGCCTGTTTCCAGCAGACTGCTGGATCCAGAGGGGGCTGGGTGGGACAGGACGGGTAGATGACAGGTCCAAGTTCACACAGATAATTGATTTCCCAGCCCACTTCCTTCCCTTTTGTATCGCGGAGCAAAATAGCAATGCTAGTACCAAAACTAATCCCACCTTGCATGGCTATATAGGATAAAGCGGTCAAGTGCTTCAGAGCGGTTGAAGACCTTTCCTCAGGCTGGGGAAGAAGCGGTGCCTCTCATCCCCAGCCCCACGCCTGATTGGCCCATCCCCAAGCTCTGTCCCCAGGTAGCTCTCACAAGTGAAACCAGTTTTAAGTAAACACTTCCCTGGCAGTCTAAAACACCATATTCACCTCTTCTTCCAACCAAAGGGTCATACGTTCCACGAGCTATTTTAAGTAACTCTGCACCTACTCGCCTGAAGTATTTGTCATAACAGGAAGCCAGCTTCATATACAGTAATCCTCAGACACGTTGAGGTGCATGTGGGGAGCATGAGTGGGCTGAGGGAGAAGCAGGGATGAGGTTGCCTGCCCAAGCCCTGAGACCTGCGTGTTGGTCCCATTCCAGGATCCATCAGCCTCCTTCCCAGGCCCAGAGACTCAGAAACCCAATTTATCCCCTAGTCAGGCTGCCTTGTTTTCCTTCCTCACGCCGTTGCTGGTGCCTTTTTTTTTTTTTTTTTTAATAAAGGATTTTGAGTAGGCAGCTAAGCCAGTCAGCTGTTTATTTATAGCTGCAGATTTTCAATGCTGTATAAATTAGAAATCATTGCTGAATGAGGCCTGCGCCCACTCACACACGTAGGGCCCCTAGCTGTGAGTCCTTTCACACAGTTTGACTGTACAGTCTAAAACGGGAGAAAATGACACGCTCCAAGTCAAATGACGGAGTCACAGCTAAACGGCAAAGCAGAAAACCAGCA